TGTACGCCCGTGCAGTACAGAGAACAGCTGACAGTAAGGGTTGAAGTGACGTGAAAGCGTATAGTATGCGTCAAAATCTCCAAGTGCAAATGTCACATTGTAAAACACAGGTTTTGGCACATCTCCCGTTTGGTTCGCTCCACCGCATATAAGTACCCTTTTTTTTAGTACACTTGAAAATTATATGTTTTCCAAAGATGTAATGGTACCTAGTTTGATTGTGTAGGGAAAATTAGGATTCTATAAATTAAAAAATTTTAAGGCCTTACTCCCCCAAAGTGAAACACCAAGGCGGATTTTATGAGCTTAATCTTACGATATTTCATGTGGGCCATTATTTAAGCATAGAAAATCTCTGGTTTTCAATAAGTTTCGGAAAAAGTAACGATAAAAATCCATGTCATATCAGAAAAAAGTTGTTGGAGTTATGGAGGATTTTGATTTTTAGGTGGTACGTTGAAGTGAGTTCAAAAAAATTTTCCAGTTCTTTCAATTGACTGATATGAAAAATATTCGAGAAACCCACATCACCCTGAAACCATTCCATCCCAGGTTCCCCTCCAACATGACGCAGGATAAGATGAAGACAAAATATATTCTAAAACGTCTTTCAATGAAAGTGAAATTAAAATGCTCCTCCTAAGCCGAGTTACATCTAAAAGAGTAGCAGCACAGCTTTAGCAAAAATTAAGATATAGTGCCACAGGGAGAACAAAAAGGATCGTAGCAGAAAACTCGGATTTTCTGGTGTAGAAGTAAACATTTCACCCAACGATTTCGTCAATCCCGTATACGTTTTCGAAGATTCCAACCCTCGTACAAGTACGAGCCCCATCTTACACGAGTAACATGTAATATCGGTATGGCCGAGAAGATGCAAGTACAACAAGAACAAGCTCCAGGGAAATCCCGATGTACAACAATGTACGCTCAGGTGTGGCTGTAAGGAAGCAATCCAGTGTACCTGTGTAACACTGCGGGCGTCGACGTTGGCACCATCAACCTCACACGCGCATTACGACCGGACGATTAGACAGGACTGGCCGAGAGAGCGTACCTATATGTATGATCGGCCGATCGATCCCCCTTGCCTTGATGGGTGTGTAACGAGCACGTCAGGTGTGTGTCTCGGCTGTTTGGAGAAGCTTTGGACATGGTACACTTACATAGGTACATAATATACGTATAGCGACTCGTAACTATGTGCACGCAGTTTTCGATGCTTTTTCTCGATTACAAACTGAACTTTCTCGTGGCAATGTTTATCAGCATTCGAGAGAATTTCCCATCGGTCTGTTGTCGATTGTACCAACTACCGATTCCGCAAGGAAAACAAAGATAATTTACCGCGGGATGTCCAAAGATCCTTTGTTACAGATTGCACTCTGCTGCCTCTTTGCGTCAATCTTTTGAGGAATAATCGTTTGATTCAGTAAAACGATGAGTTTGTTTTTCAAACGCTTGTGCCTTTTATTGAAAACGTCACACTTAAAGTTTTGTTCAAACATACTTGAGTTTACAGTGCACAAGTTTTTTTTTGCAGTGTTTTCATTGTTACTGTTTCATGCTCGCTCGATGTAATTCCGGGAAAAATTGTTTTTTTTTTGAAAGATAAATTTTATTTTAATACAGAGTAGACCGATATTTCTCCAGTATTTTTTTTTTGATACAAGCTTTCTCGAACGGATCCCACACGCCACGCACGTACCCGCGCGTCAATCCAGTATGCAAAGAACCCCCCCCGGGTCCAGAGAAATGTTATTCATGAGAAACTTTACAAGAGTAATCCTGAGTTCTGTATTTATAAGTAACAACATGTGTGAAAGAAGACGGTACACGGTCTCGTTATTGGCCTTTCCGCACGCGAATTCAATTTGCATGAATTCAACAGCCAAATGATACGTTTCGCGCTTGGCGAGAAGACATTCGGGGATATGCCAAGAAAATCTTATTACCCGGTCCTTCTGTGCGTTTAATATGTGTGTACGAAGGAATTAGGGGATGAGGATGCACCTGCATGGAATTTCAATTAATTTGGTTGAGGCTGAAATTCTTTGGATACGCGCGAGTTTCGTGGGTTTTCATAACTTGCTCACTGTCTGACACTTTTCTTTCTTGGATTTTTTTTTCAATCCAAACAAATATTAAATCGTACAAAGATCGTTTATTATGATTTTTCATAACGGACGAGTACGTGTCACGGTCGAGTACGTGTCAGTGACCGAATGGATGGGGTCTTGTACTGTAATGGATTAGATTATTGTTACCAAAATACCTTACAACGAATGGTAGTGCCACTTATTGTTAATATATTACCTTAACTTCTTTTATTATTTATTAGCTATAAGCTAAAAACGAAAGATTTTAAACATCGATCAGGCGAAGGCATTTTAATTTCTTCGTGCGCTGATGGCTCGTCTTACCAAACTCGTCTGTTTCTACTTGATTTTACGTTCATGGCGTTTCTTGCCACAATCAAAGCTTACAATATGTTTACATTTATACATTCAGAGATCATTGATGATAATGGCGCCATCTTCCAAAAATTACAAATGAAAATTTAAAAGTAAAAAAAAGTACTGAAAAAATTGTAAACTTAACTTTGTATTAATGAACCAAAAAAATCAAGAAATAGTTTTTTTATCAACGTATGATTGGTGAATGCAGACATTCATCAACAATGGGATCATATTATTGTCAATAAATAGTTTAGTTCGACTTTTTGATGTATTTTTGAGGGGTTTGTGTCATAAAAACAAGAAATTCAGGAATCCCTTTAAAAAATTTGTGAAAACTATTAATGTTGTACTCCGAGTGACATATATTGAGAAACTAATTATTCAACGCATACTCTTATGGAAAAAAAAAAGTTCTTATTAGAGTAATTTTCAAAAAGCTTAAGTGATAAAAGTTTTCAATATGTCTATCTGAATTCAATTACTAGCCCATGTACACGATTTTTTTAAAGGGATTCTCAAATTTTTTCTTATTTCATGGATAGGATGTACGATTAGACGCCTCTGCAGATAAAACCCTCACATCCCCAAAATCTCCACGTACAACATGTTCGAAAAAAAAAAAAAAAAAAAAGCCATAAGACTTATTATCGCCGAAGAAACGAGTTAATGACAACGGTACCAATAACAACAATCCACGGGAGTGTCGTCAAACGAAAGCTCTCTCTACCGCAAGCTCGACCAACGCATAATCCGCGGACCCGAGCAAAGCATGGCCCCTCTCCCCCGGGCATCGGATTATATTCTCGGACGGGCATGTATAATGCATAACGCACGTCGTCCGGCTCATTTGCTAAAGCACGTCGAGCCCATTAGCTCTCCGACTCCATACACGCGACAACGCGCTATGCATACCGTACGGAAGACTTAGGACGAAACTACGGTGGAAGCTTTCATTATCAGACTTCCACTTGTGTACATGTGTATGTAGGTTGTGCTTTGCAAGAGTCGCGGCGACATATGGGGACGAACTTTGGTAGTTCGCGGTTGAGTCAGTCTACCTGTGCTCTCAGTTTGCGTTACGTATACGTGTAATTAGCAACGCTCACGTGCATTGGATCTGCCGCTGTTCGTTGCGTCCAATAAGCGCGAATGGATTGTCGTTGTGGGTCTGTATGTTGTTGCTGTTTGTGGCCTTAGCGTAGAAGTGCAGCTGACACGAGTTATAGGCTACGTCGTGGGTGGTATTTGAAAAGATTAAAATGAAAAGTTGTTCGACCATTGCTTTCCGAGCCAAAGTATAATTTTTAAATTTGAATGAAAGCATTTCACCGATTCAACGTCGCTAAATGTAGGATTCAAATAACACCTTCGTGGGTTGATACATCTGGAATTCCTCAAGTACTTTCCGTTTCGGAACATGTACACGTACATGTTTCAGGTTTCTCGGCTCTCAGAAACGTCGACATGAAATCACAAACAAATTCCGCGCACAACACACATGATTTCTGATAAACGTTATTTTTCCTTAAACGCTTGGAAAACGCGTTTTATGTCACGAATAGTCTAATCCAATCATTCACACGAGATCAATTACATCTTCATCTTTACAAATGGTTGACAATTTGCAACAGACAGATTATTTCACGCTAAATTAAAACGAGAACCAATCCATGAAATCCGTACCTCTACGTAAACTCCCAAAAATTGAAACCTCGAAATCAATAGAGACACGCGCATCGAAGCAGATAATACACACAGAGATCGGCATCAGGACTATTATACATCAACTTTGTTGGGTCTTCTTTCACTTCCGCACAATACACTCCCTCAAAGTCCATTCGCGATAACAAGTATATGTAGCACTTCGTGCCCTTCGGGGAGTTATAATGAATGATCAAGCCAATCCGAGCGAAGCTTTTGATTATTGATATCGACGCGGAAGCGCCTCGCGCTCGTGATTGATGAATTTTCGACGAGCTACCACTGAGAGGGAGAGAGGATTCTGCTAAGCTCTCGACATCATCGGTCATGGCAACGCATTTGGATAATTGTGTGACGATGCATTGTTGTTCTCCACGACGCGGTGGTACGACTGGGATTGCTAAAATTAGTTGACAAGGCTCTCGTGGGGACTTGTCACCTCGACATGGCTCACGAGGATGAAACGATTTTTTTTTTTTCATGACAAATTGCAACTTTGTTTAGGTATCAGGAATTTTTACTTTTGTGATAATCTGCAACAATAGACAATCGTTGATTGAGTTCTAGTTTTATCGCCCACAAAGTCCCTACTCATCGAATCATACCATCTACATCTGGGTATCTACTATTATACATATGTGATACAGGAACGAATGTACGCATTTCATTATCGTCAGTCCTAATAGTATAAGGAAACTATTTTAAAAAAGAAAAAAAACTACTCATGTCGTATACTTTACATAAAAAAAAAAAAAACCATTTACGCTCAACTTTAAAAACATTCAAAAATATTGCACCAACACTTGGCTAATTGCTACTTTTTCTGGATTTGGTTTACAGTATAACATAAAAAAGAAGGAGGAGGTGCAGGAAATGCCCCAGGAAGAACCAGCTAATCCGCTGATGCGCAAGAAGAAGACGCCTGAGGAACTGGCGGCTGAAGCAGAAGCGGAAGACGAGGACGAGTTCACAAGTGAGTTTTCTTTTTCACTTTTGTACATATCCAAAAGGTACCGGATTGAGTTTTCATTTCACGTTAGCTGTGCCAAATGTCAAGTCTTCTTTTTGAATCCAAACGAATAATTAACACCATAATTTAAAAAAAACGACTGTTGCACTACGGAAATAAAAAAAATTATTTACTTTTATACAGACATTGGGTAATCAGTCGAAAGAAAGAAACATAAGATCATTGCCTTAGGATTCGAGTAAATTGGGATGTACAAACTGTCAAACCTTGACACGGTTGCGAAGATACCTATTCTCTATGACACAAAACCGAATTTCGTGCACATAACGAGATGTACGTGTATACCTGTACCTTTAAAGCCGCACCGAAGGACGAGATACAAACAGGCGATCGATGTTTCGCGCTTAACGAGCCGCGCAGTTGGAAGTCAAACGGCACGCCACCGGACTCCTCCCCCTTACACTATCAACCGCAAGTGCGCGCGTGCTAACGTTCGTTCGTTCTCTCCTATACGTGCTCGGCATTTTCGTGAGCCGTCGTCTATACAGCTGCAGTGCCTGCTGGCGCTTATTGCTTCGACGGCTGATTTAGGAGACTCGTTGTTCGAAAATGGCTCATTATTCGTCGGCCACTGTTACCTACTAGAAACGAAACGTGAGCTTTCGGGACGGAATTCGTTGGGGAACTGAGCTAAAATAGTATCGTTGGTGGAGAATACACTAAGCGAAAAAAATTCTACGGCTTATTTTACTTCCAAACGAAAGGAATCTATCGCTCACTGAAGTACTAACCAGAATATGTTTATAGGTGTAGGTCACGTAACACATTAAAATGAATGCCATAGCTTCTACAAGTTATGACTAACTACCGATGTATATTGAATGAATTTTATAGAGCTTTTATCTGAGACTTACCCGCGTAAAAATTTTGACGTTTGGCCTAACTTTTGACAAAGTTCATGTGGCCAACATCTGGCTAAACTTTGGCCAAGCTTGGGCAATGAAAAATTCCCAAACTTGGATTTTCGTTGGAATATTCGACTCAATATTTTTCGTAAGTCGTATATGCAGACCAACTAATATACTGACGCAACAAATTAATCTTTTAGACGTTTTGATGAATATTTGCTAAACTTGAGTCAAATATTCCAACAAAAATCCAAGTTTGAAATTTTCTCATTGCCCAAGCTTGGCCAAACGTTGGCCACATGAACTTTTGCGTAATTTTTGCCAAACTTAAAAGTTTTTACGCGTGTACGTAAAGGAATAATGTTCCTGATGTGGACGCATGTATGAGAGCTGATGTGAAAGCCTAAAAATTTCAAAGAAGAACCATATCATTTGAAGATTCTGTTGGAAGTTAAAAGAGTTTAAAATGAAAGAACAGAAACCGTGAGATGTACCAATATGCTCGTTTTACGAAAATTCAACGTTTGACTTTAAACGCGTACAACTTTTGTACAGAAGCTTTAAACGAGGAAATTTTTTAACTTCTGGAGTCTCACTTTAGCTCTGAATTCCACCTCATTGAAATATCATTGTATACATGTATTTTATTTATTCAAGATACAAGTGATAGAAGTCTATAAGCTACATTTCCAAGATAAAATAAAATCTTTGAAAGTTTTTGGTCATCCAAAGTTCTAAATATTTCTCGATAAGTGTCAAATCTTTCAGAGACTTTCAAATGGCTTGTAAACTGTTTCAAAGACTTTTAAAATATTTTCATGATTTATTTGAATGACTTTTAAAGACTTTCGAATTTTTTTTATGATCCTAACAGTCGAGTGAGATTACGAGACGACTCATTCTCTAGGAATAACATTAAATTAATCTGACCCAATTGTTGTTTATTATATATTTTAATAAATAGACGTTTCGATAATACCCCTAATAAGTATTATTCTCTCGTGCAATGAAACCCTCGTGAAAAAATGTCCCCTCGATAGCACAAAACCCAAAGGCTAGATTCATGACGATTGAAATCCTTTTCGTATTATTGCAGAGCTAAAGAACATGATGACGACGCAGGTGGACGAGATAAAGACGCAAATCGAAGCCAGGTGTAACCTGCAATGAGTCGACCCCGGGAAGGAGAAAAAGGGGGCAGCGCTCGGCTGGCCGAGGAGTAGCCATCTTAACCTCCATCAATTCCGAGCTCAAGACGAAAATGACGACGACGAAGACAGGGCATCCGTTCCACCGGCTGAGCAATCACACCTCCACCATCGCGAGAACAGTAGCAGCAGTCGTGGCTTAACTCGAGCGTATTTGCCAATTCTTTCTCTCTTCTTCGCTTTTTCCCCTTTGGGCGAGAGCTTGACTTTCCGAGAGGAGACCTTAACGAGGGATGATTAATCGAGTAAACACGGAAGGAAAGGAAAATGTCAATGATTTTCGCTGTTTGCCCCGAACCCAAGAGGGAAGGAAAGAGAGAGGAAGGAACGGCAGGAGAGATCCGACGACGACGACAACCAGCTGGTATACGACCAGAAAACATGTACACAGAGGCAAAAATCGAGAAGAACACACCCAACACGAAAAACAAAAGTTCACACGGAACAGACGCTCAAAATTAAGAGAACGGCAGACAGTCAGCAACCCTGCAAACATCCCAATAACAAAGTGCTCCACTTCGAGCGATTTTTTCGCTAAGGAGTGCAAAAGGTAGTGAAGTAGAATGAGAAAGAGAAGAAGCAAAAGTATCTAGTCCCTAAGTTTTTAGTAAAAAAAAAAAAATAATAAAGAACGAATNAAAAAAATTATTATTATTATAATCATGATTATGGTGGATAACGATTAGGTATTATAAGCGGTAGTCAAGTTATGTAGTTGCTAGTTGATTCAGACAGAGACAAACAAACAAACCAAAAGATCACAAGCGCGACAGTTGTTTCAATGATAATGTTAACAATTATACAATAATGATGAAAGAGAAAAACGTTAATACCAAATAATGATAATATTATGATATGGAATGATGAACGTGAAGAGATTGTTAAACAACCAGTCATGAAAGAAAAAAAAAAAAAAAAAAAAAAAATTGCGATGTCCAACGAGATTGAATGACGAGAGCGAGACGAGATGATGATTATTATTATTACTGTACGATTATATTAATATATTATTACTGCATAAGAATCGAGTAATAATAAGAACAATAATGTGACATTTGTTGCTAGGGAACACATAAAAGTGTGCAAAAATAAGAGAGAAGAAAAACGTGGGTGTATAAGTTTGTGAAATTGTAGGTGCTTTTTTTCTTGTGCGATCGAATTTTATGTAGTAGTTAACTAGTCAGAAGACGAGATGTGGATATGATAATGATGATGTTACGAGTGAGTAGTTGGTCTGGCAGTGTTAAAAGTAAAAAAAAAAAAAAAAAAAGTGTGAAATAGTAGCGAACAGTATATTGACGAAAAAGGGCGAATAATGAAACAAAAATATGTTATAATTTCAATGATTAATCATAATTGTAAGAGTAATTATGAGAAAGCCGATGATGACTAAACAAAAAGAAAAGGGTGTCACAATGACGGACAGTTAGTAACGAGAAACAAAAACGAATGGATGGTAGTTCTTGTTCGGCCATCCGTCCGATTCTCGACCACGCGACGGACCCTACGTGCAAGGCCCATTTAAGGGGTAAAATGTAATTGTTTCGATGCGCAGGGCGTGTAAGTGAACTGCGCGCTGGAGGGCACGCGCATTGTTGTTGTTATATTGTTGAATATTTTGCTAATGTAGTACGAGATTTGCACTCTCATTTTTGCATCGCCGTAGCGTCGCGGAACCCGAAAGACCTTAACTCAAGTTCGATTTTTTTCTAAAACAATAAATTTATATTTATACATGTACGACGTATTAAGTATAAACGAGTAGAATGTTTTTTCTAACCTCGAGAGGCTAAGGGGAATTCATTTATTTCCATTACTATTATTATTCTTGTTGTTGTTGTTGCTACTGTTATTGCTGTTGTTGTTACAATGAAAATTATGCATCAAGGCTCTTTACAGCCAAGGATTGAGAATAAATTTCCGCTGTTAACGCGAGTAGTGTCACAACGCCAAGTATTGGAATTTGACGAGGAAGCATGGCTTCGACTTATCGCGCATGCGCAGTGACAACAGAGTATGCGTATAGTAGAATAAGTGAGTTATGCAACCGATGGTCAGATTCCAAATGGCAGTTTAAATGCAAAATGTTCCGTATAATGATTGATCGTAGATGTAACAAGTTATGATACGTAAGGTCCTTCGGAATCTCAGGCGCTTCACACGCGACGATAATAAAAACGAACAAAAAAAATCACAATCATTCAATGTTAAAAATACGAAAAATAGGAACAAAAACGTTTCGTGACAAACAATTTTTTACAAAGAAGAAGCGGAAAGTACGATGGATTGTGAGAATAAGCGATCAGACGAGTCAAATAATCCAAAGCAAAGCCTTGCACTTCCATGAAAACTGGAGTAAACGCTAAAATAAAGTAAGCTGAATAGAAAAAAATAATAATAAAAATTATAGTAATGACGCGCCCCGCGTGTCGAACGAAAAAAATGTTGGGCCGTAGGTGTCGTCACGTGGTACATGTGCGCGCACGCGCACGCTGGTGCGTATTAAAATGTACTACGTGGGCAATATTTGTTGAAATTGAATATTAATTATAAACGCTAGTTCGATGTTAAGCTGCCCCATCCCTTGCAATAGAAAAAAAAAATTAAAATAAAATGATTCACCAGCGTACGAGTGCGCGCTACAGCGAGCAAGCCGTGAGCAGGATGGTTCTTAAAAGAGCACCAACTGCCGACGAAGGTGATGCATGCCTTATATATAATATACATATACTTTTAATAAATATATAATGATAATAACGTTAATAAGAATAATAATAATATTAATAATAACAATAATAATAATGATAAATAACAAGACATGTAAAATACACGTTCCAACACCCACACTTACACAAAAACACGCCCTGACACGAATGTAGAATAATCATGAAAATAATAATAACAAATTCAGAGGATATCTTTTTTGCGTAAACATACCGAGTTCGCGTGTGCAATTTGTGTGTGATTAAATGAGTGCAGTGTGTGTCTGTGTGTCGTACGTGTGCGATTCTGCGCCAAAATTTAAACATCAACATGTTGACGAACCACAAAATCGGTGAGCAAAGCGAAGGAAAGACAAAGGGATGAACTATCATGAAAAAATGGTGTGCACCACGTATAGCAAAGGAGAAATTCGACAGTGTTTTGATGATTTATGGGCGGCACAGTAAAAAGTTTCCGGCTGTTTGATATGAAAAATATATACATATAAATATATAGTTATACATAAAAACTTATCGAGGGTAGAGTACTAATGACCCAATTGTTGTTTATTATATATTTTAATAAATAGACGTTTCGATAATACCCCTAATAAGTATTATTCTCTCGTGCAATGAAACCCTCGTGAAAAAATGTCCCCTCGATAGCACAAAACCCAAAGGCTAGATTCATGACGATTGAAATCCTTTTCGTATTATTGCAGAGCTAAAGAACATGATGACGACGCAGGTGGACGAGATAAAGACGCAAATCGAAGCCAGGTGTAACCTGCAATGAGTCGACCCCGGGAAGGAGAAAAAGGGGGCAGCGCTCGGCTGGCCGAGGAGTAGCCATCTTAACCTCCATCAATTCCGAGCTCAAGACGAAAATGACGACGACGAAGACAGGGCATCCGTTCCACCGGCTGAGCAATCACACCTCCACCATCGCGAGAACAGTAGCAGCAGTCGTGGCTTAACTCGAGCGTATTTGCCAATTCTTTCTCTCTTCTTCGCTTTTTCCCCTTTGGGCGAGAGCTTGACTTTCCGAGAGGAGACCTTAACGAGGGATGATTAATCGAGTAAACACGGAAGGAAAGGAAAATGTCAATGATTTTCGCTGTTTGCCCCGAACCCAAGAGGGAAGGAAAGAGAGAGGAAGGAACGGCAGGAGAGATCCGACNAAAAAAAAAAAAAAAAAAAAAAAAAAAAAAAAAAAAAAAAAAAAAAAAAAAAAAAAGTAAAACTCTTAGGAATAATAAAGCCTGAAAGTCGAGTGTACGATGTAGAACAAAAAAAAGGCAAAGCTAGACAAAAAGTGATGAAATTATGCAGCTCGCAGTTAACGTATTAATCTTTTCCGCTTCTACTGATGTCGCGTCGTGCACGCGCGCACGAGCTCGTACGGAATACTTGGGACGATTACAATAAATGCTTGAAATTTAACTTGCGTCGCTAAACACATTGCGCAACTTATGCGGGCCAAGTCAAACTTTTCTTCTTCATCTACTTTCTTCTCACTCTTTCTCTACTATACTTCGTCTTCTTTCACAATATTTGCTAACTTCTCGATTTTCATTAGGACGGGGATTAAAACGAAAAAACACTCTCCAATCGAAACAAGAAAGGTAAATAATACATGTTCAATCAACTGCTTTGTGAAACTGAAAAAAAAAAAAATGTTTTTAGTTCATTTCCGAAGCATAGTTGTCATTCTCAAAATTAATTTTATCAAAAAGCCGACATAAATTACAGGAATGCATGAGAAATTTGTTTTTATCCCGGTAAGTTTTGTCACACGTAGAGAAATAACTATTGGCGCGTTCCAGAAGGAAACATAAAAACCACATACGACACCCAGACGAATAATAAATAAATAACGTGGATTTGTGAAAGTAGTTTTACAGATAATTAAACAACTAAACGAATAGTTAATGACAAACAAATACATTGACACTATGACAATATGGGTAGTCGACGCGTGTATTACGTAATAATTTTTAAGTAATTTTTTTTTGTCATTTTACAGCAACAAATATGCTTGAGAACGACTGTGTTAGCAAAAAAAAAAAAAAACTGAGTGTGTACGCATTATGTTACTAAAATAATCTACGCTACTTTAAATGTATAAATGTGCGTGTTTGTTTAATCGAAGGAAAGATAAGTATCACACTCGCGTTGCGCACGCTTTATTATCTGTATATATGTGCACTTTTTGATTAAGCCATTCGGCTGTCCTCGATTTCACGCACTTTACACCAACAAAAACCACCGGAACCAAGCTCCACCTGGTATACTTACTTCTAAACAGCAGAACCCCCTGGGTTCGACCTTTCCCTTTGAACACACACACACACACACACACACACACACACACACACACATACACTTGCATGCACGAAAAAATCAGCTCGCAACTCTATACCACCAATATAGTTTCCCTCTTCTCTCCTAACTTGAAGGAAACCTTGTCAGTTATCCCGCATGCACCCTCCTTTTTCCCTGAAAACTTACCTCTTTGTCCGCTCTGTGCACGTGTTTACTCGCAGTAAGCCAACACTTTTTCTTTTCCCCTTACCCCGGCACTTTCAGCATTTTCTCTCTAATTTTAAAACCTTAAGATACCGATTCTATTTGTATGCCCGATTTTCGTTCAACACGAGAAATTTAGAGCTGTAGTGCCAGGTTTCGCTTTATAACCTCCTTTACCAGTGAACAAAGCACACAAAAACGTAACACTCTTGTCTCCATTTTTCCTGCAACAAACAACAAAGTCACACATGTACCGAAAACAAAATCTCGGCCGTTACGATTCCGGTTCTCCGGAGGAACAAAGAACCCTCAAACAATGACAAACACGCGCCTGAAATAACCTATAATGCAAACTATATAAATACAAAAAAAAAAGCGGGAAAACATTACAGATGTTGG